AACTGATCTTTGCAGTTCACTGTTTTCCATGCATTAAATTTGCTGGCAGTATGTGAAGAAAATCCCATTTGAAACTCCAGGTCACTGCACATGTCTTCACTACTTCTCAATATAAAGCAGTACCTAGGACAGAATAAAAGTTTGTGTCCTCCACTTTAATACAAAATAAATCCCTTCAGGAATACTACATGCTTGTCATTTATTTAAAGATCTGTACATAATCTGTACTGCTTTAAGATCAGTCCATAAGAATCGACAGACTGGGATTTTAATTCCTTTATAAGTGGCAAACCATGTCTTAAAGAAATGTGCCATCAACAACAAATCTGTCATTTATTTAGTGGAGAGGGAAACTTTAATCTGCAAAAGCAGCTACTGTATCTATAAAAATATCTCTATGAAAAGCTAGACTTGCAGTACTTCAAAAAATAACACTGAAATAGATTTTCCTGTACAAAAAAGACTAAAATGGAAATGTTTAAAGTAGCAACATATATATTTACGAAGCAGTAGAAGACATATCTTCATATGTTAAAATAATGATGTAACTGAAGGTACACTGTATGTTTCAGAATATTCTGTTCAAAGGACACTGAGGCTTTGGCTTCACATGACTGCTGTTTCACACACAGCTGCTAAGAAGTCAGTGAATAATCCAGGATTCCAGAAATTTTCAGCAGTGTTCTGGCTCTAACTGTTCCCAGAAAACATGCCACAAACGTGAGTGCCCCTAACTTACCTTGATGACGATGTGGGCTCAGTGATCTGCCTCTGCATGCGTGCATGTCTGATCAGATGCTCTTTCAGCGCATTCTGGACCTCTGCCGGTATATCAGGTGAAGTGTGGCTAATTTTCAATGCAGCTTCAAGTACCTTTGTTGTGGGTTTCCCATTTTCTTTAACTTCTTTTTTCTCACTGGTCTCAAAAACCTCTGTAGGAGCACTGGAGTTGCTCTGAGGGACATTGCTGGCATTGGAAGCGACAGGTTTGCTTCTCCAGCAGGGCCAACACAACTTCCAAAAGACAAAAAGCGAGACTACCAGCAAGGCGAGCCCGCAGAAGCTGACGACTACTGCTAAGAGACTGACTGAGATGTCTGCAAGGAATTAGAAACAAAGATCATCATGACAGACAAACATGGAGAGAAAAAAAATTAAAAATTACACAGGTAAGGAGATCGAAGCATTTTGATCGTTATCTTGTGTCGCTCTGAAGTCCTTTTTAATGTTTTGTTCCTTTTTGATATCTAAGTCTGTACCTTTAAAATGTTATCATTCTCTAATACCTATATCACAGATACACCATTAATTGTTCAGGCCAGGGGCCAGTATCTGTACCACTAGCCACGCACTCAGTCAGACTTCTCAGGAAGTAAGGGACCATACAAATGGTCCCAAATACCCCTAGCCATCATTGTCAAAGGGTGTCTGCTCAGGAACACATCTTGCTGAAAATATTAAACCACAGTCAACACTTTCTATAAGGGCACATGAAGACAGACCAGTTCTAAACCGCCAGGCTGATACACACATTTCTCCAGGACTTGACAAACTTTTGACTCTGGGTGCTAACTGCTTCAGAAACATGTTAAAACCTAGCATTTAAGCGGCATAAATAGGCACAGGATATAGTCTGTCATAAATAAAAAATTTCTAGGGTTTAATCTTAAGCTCTGGACAAAGACTGTGTTAGACCAAGACAGCACATATACATTGGTATCTAAAATCCCACTCTGGAAATGCAGCTGGCTTTAGAGTACACTATACCACGCCCTGAGTTATATACAGAGACCACACTGTACACTTAGCTACTCCTGCTGCCCTGTATTTGACTTTTTCTGCCATAATTAGTTAGCATATCCAAGAGCATGGCCAAAGATAGGAGAACAGATTTCATACCAATGAAATTCTGTGAACAGACTTGTATTTTAGGAGATGGTGGATCACCAGAAATGCCAGTTGAGCCCTAATTAGGAGTTTTATCCTATGTGACATGTTTCAGTTTGATTTTTTCCAGTACCATGTAATATCATAAAATATAACTAAAAAAATCCCTTTCCTTTTGAAAAGAGCCTTTTGTATGGTTTAAAAGTATTCAATAAACCCTACTTAAATGTCCCTCAAGTAATGGCTGCTGCTGCTTGTTACAACAAGGTTTGACAGTTTAACAGCTAATATTTTGTATCCATAGCTCCAGGCTCCAGGCTACTAAACTGAACCAGTGGAAAAGTGCAACAAGAGTTTGAGCATATTTTTCCTACAGGATCACAGGAGGAAAAATAGTCCTCTAGGTATGTATTAGCTTCATGGAACAGTATGTACCTCACAGGTCCCCTTGAGAGATGAAGATTCTAGTCGAAAATTTGGGAACATTTTCTGTATTAATCCATAGTATCCAGATAGATCTCTCAGTAACAAACACCGAACTTAAAGCCCATTCCACATGAAAATGCGTGAGAATAGCAAAACGAAAGAGAAAATGTTTGTAGTATGGACATTTGAAAGATATGGTTCTGCTCAACTTTACTTTGTATATGTCCTGGTCAGTGTCCTGGGGAACTGGCAGAGGATGTTCTCGATTTAAAGAGTTTGGCACAAGCTGCTGCCCTGCCTTGATCAGAATTATACCTCCTTGACCATTTCCTGCTAGTACTGAGAAAGGTGTCTTCCTTTTCTGCCTGTAGTTAAATTTCAAAATGTAGCCCTTGGAATATGCATGTCAGCTTAATGAGAAATTCATACGGCAAATTCTGATTTAAGATGCTTCCATAAAATGAATGGATGCATAATTATATCTAACAATAATGTAATACAAGAAGCAAATTATATTTTTGCATACGATTTTTCTAGATAATTTATCCCCAGTAGGGATTATTAGTCTATTTAGTTTAATCTACTGTTTACCCTGATACCCTTCCCAAGCCCAGTAATTTTTACTTGGCTTATTCATGTTCTGCAGCAGACTGTCCTATCTTGACAACAACAGAAGACATTAACATACGCTGAGTTTACAGCTTGTTTCAATGGTTAATCACTTTGTCGCAAATTTGTATTTCTGATTGGTATTTCTATAGTTCTAATTTACAGTCATTGCTTCTTTCAGATCTTTGTATGAGCGATTAAAGGATATGAAATGCTTCGTAAGACATGCCCATACAAAACATAAATAAAATAAACTGCGCCAGGAAATAAACCCAGGACTTGAAATGCAATTGCCAATACCAGGAACAGTTTTAAACTGGGCCAGTTCATATCCTCCCAGCCAGTTCCTGGGCACGGATCAGGAAGTACAGTAGGCCAATGATCATTCTTAATAGGTGGTTTGGATGTGGCTCTTCTGTTTCAGCAGATGACAGACTTTAATATCATGGACAGAGGTTCTTACGTGCAAGTTGGCCTCAGTGGTGTCAGAGAAGAGTTTGTGGTGGGTTAACCCTGACTGGATGCCAGGTCCCCACCAAAGCTGCTCTATCACTCCCCCTCCACAGATGGACAGGTGAGAGAAAATATAATGAAAGGCTCATGGGTCAAGATAAGAACAGGATCACTCACCACTTACTGTCATGGGCAAAAGAGACTAAACTTGAGGAAAAATTAATTTAATTTATTACCAATCAAATCAGAGTAGGAAAATGAGAAATAAAAACAAATCTTAAAACACCTTTTCCCCACCCCTCCCTTCTTCCTAGGCTTAACTTTACTCCCGATTTTCTCTACCTCCTCCCCTGCAGCAGCACAAGGGGATGGGGAATAGGGGTTGTGGTCAGTTCATCACACGTTTTTGCTGCTCCTTCCTCCTCAGGGGGAGGACTCCTCACTCCCTGCTCCAGCATGGGATCCCTCCCATGGGAGATGGTCCTCCGTGAACTTTTTTCAATGTAAGCCCTTCTCACAAGCTGTAGTTCTTCATGAACTGCTCCAGCGTGGGTCCCTTCCACAGGGCAGAGTCCTCCAGGAACAGATTGCTCCAGTGTGGTTCCCCCACGGGGTCACAAGTCCTGTCAGCAAACCTGCTGCAGTGTGGGATCCTCTCTCCACAGATCCACAGGTCCTGCCAGGAGCCTGCTCCAGCACAGCCTTCCCACAGGGTCACAGCCTCCTTCAGGCACATACACCTGCTCCAGTGTGGGGTCATCTATGGGCTGCAGGTGGATATCTGCTCCACTGGGGACTTCCACGGGCTGCAGGGGGACAGCCTGCCTCACCATGGTCTTCACCACAGGATGCAGCGGAATTGCTGCTCTGGTGCCTGGAGCACCTCCTTCTCTTCCTTCTTCATTGACCTTGGTGTCTGCAGAGTTGTTCCTCTCACATATTCTCACTTCTCCCTTCCAGCTGCTGTTGCACAGTAGTTTTTTCCCTTCTTAAACATGTTGTCCCAGAGGTGCTACCACCATCATTGATGACCAGCAGTGGGTCCGTCTTGCAGGTGGCTGGCATTGGCTCTGTTGGACATAGGGGAAACTTCTAGCAGCCTCTCTCAGAAGCCACCCCTGTAGCCCCGTAGTTACCAAAACCTTGCCACGCAAACCCAATACACACTCATAAGTTAATTTAATATATTAGTTTAGAGGTATGTCCCACTGAAGGAACTTTGTTGATAAATGGAACCAGCTGAATTTTCAATCAAGCCGCACAAAAATGTTTTTCCATTCTCAAGGCCTGACAAAAATTACAACTCTTTAAAATGTTGATGATCTATCAGAAATTAAAAAAAAAGAAAACAAAAAGCAACTAAATTTTGGGTAATTTGAAATATTTCCAGCTCAGTTTAGAGAAGGTTGGCATAATTAAGTCACATTTCGAGAGGAAGGCTTTTAGAACGGAAAATTGTATTTTTTTTTCCATTTAGAAAATGTTGAAACAGGATGTTTTAACAACTTTGAAACTGCTGGAAACATTTCAAAACTAGAAATATGAAAATTGATCCCTTCCAGCAGAGTTTCAATTTGATGAATAGATACTATCAGCTGAAAAACATTCCATCTAAGCATTTCTAGCCAATTCTATTTTAAGTTTTTCACTGCAAGACATTTTTCAAGCTTTCAAACAACTTGGTGTCTCCTTTCAACACCTACTGCCGTACTTCAACCTCCTCTAAGCTTTTTCTCTTTATTTCCATGAAACTATTTAAAATTCTAAGTCACTCCTAAAATCTTTACAGAAAATGTATGTTTTATAGCCCTAAAATAATCACATGAAACATCTGAAGTCTCAAGAGCAGGGAAAAGGAGCTAATTCTACAAACAGTTGTGCAAATTACAGTCTCCATTTTTGCTAATTTACTAATAAATTTAACAACATCACATATTGTACATCATAATACAACAAATACTTAAACAGAAACATGAAATATTTTAATTGCCAGGAATATGACCAAAAATAGTCCATTAAAAAAAAAGTATTTCATTACCTTTACTGCCATAATTGCTAAAAAGCAATCAGTATGGCATATAAATTGACATAAAAAGCATATTGCTTCATTTCATCACTTGTGACAGTCACTCAATTGAGCCATTACAAGAGATTTGCTGTTATGTGAAAATCACCTGTAGAAGAGCAGTCAAATGGAGCTTCCCAGACCCTCTGCATGTTCAACTGGATATGTCTCTTACATCACCTTTTTATAGGAAGTCTGGTTTAAGACTACAAAATGGTAAAGAGACAGTTATGCAGACTAGGAGTTTCTTCACATCTCTGCCAAGGAAACCTGGTTGGGAAGCAAAATGGATACTGCAGGATGGATGTGTCATCAAACCAAGGCTGTGCTTCACATATGTAAGTATTATTTAAAGATGTAGAACTGGTGACAAATTCCAAGACTGCTTAAGTTTTTAGAGGCAGAAGGAGATATATTGTCCCTCTGCTGGGACAATTTTAATTGCCAATATTGTAAACAATATTCTCACTGATCTCTGGTACGAAGGAAGAGAAAAATCATCTTGAACCACAAGCAGTTATTTGACAACTGTTTTTCTGAACTGATAATTGCAGCTTGTCTTCAATGCTACACATTTGCACAGAACAGGACATCCTTCTGAATATTCATCTGACATGTAGCATTATGCTTTTGCCATTCTTGTTCTCATGCTGGGTA